TTCTCCTCAGTTTTTAGCTGCACTCTCCAGGGCTGGGTGTGCCGGTGACCATTGTTGGTCTTTGGTTTCTTTTCCTTTGAGGTGCTGTCTCAGGGTGTATTGGGGGATGGGGGTGGAGTGTGTTGTGTTCTGTTCTGTCTTGTTCTTTGTTAAAAAATCTCTAATAAAAAACATCTCTTCTATGTTTAGACACCTGCGGTCCAAACATTGGGTTGATCCAAGTGCACAGAGTGGTAATGTAGACAATGCTGCTGGCATTTCCACTCCAGCAAGGCCTGCTGCTGCTCCACAACTATGTATGTCCAGCACTGACCTTTTTCTATTCAGTGGTTGTTTAATCGACTTTGTATAGCCTAATAATGCTATAGTTCAATGTTCTTTGGTTTATATGACAAGAAATTGCAAGCATTTCATGCAGTGACATTGTTACATTGACAGTGAAACATTGAAAGATAGTCGTGAAATTTCATATTGCTTCAGAATTTTTGTGTCCAGAAAAAAGGAGTTGGATGATGCACTGGTTGAAATGATTGTGAAGGACTGTCAGCCATTTTCTGTGGTGGAGGAAGAGGGGTTCCGTGTTTTTGTTGGAAAATTGGACCCCATGTACACACTTCCAAGCAGAAATACACTGAAGCAGAAGGTTGAGGAAAGGTATAAAGAAAAGCAGGAAAAGGTTAAGGAGGAATTAAGAAATGTTGGTTGTGTGAGCCTCACTTCTGACATGTGGACCTCAGTCAACATGGATGCTTTCATGGCTGTGATGCCATTTCAGTGAAAAGAGGAAGCTAGCAAGCAGATTACTGGGTGTGACTAAGTACCCCCAGGTACATACTTCAAGAAAACCTCAAAGAAGCAAAGGAAAAGCTCATATCTCAGTGTGGCCTCCAAGGGAAAATAAGATGTATTATTACAGACAATGCAGCCAATATGATGAAGTGTGCCCAGCTAATGAGAATAACTCATATTCCATGTTTTGCCCACACACTGAATTTGTTTACAAAAAAGGCCATAGAAGACACTCCTGGCCTGGCTCTTGTCGGGGAAAAGGCAAGAAAAATTGTTGGACTGTTTAAGTCAAGCACAACTGCAAAGGAGAGGCTGGCTCATGTTCAGGGACAGCTTGGAAGGCCACAGCACAATCTGCTCCAGGAGGTAGAGACACACTGGAACAGTACTTATTTATGACCAAAGAGAGCCTGCTGGAGCTGCTCTGACAAATATGAGGACAGACATTACTCCTCTGTCCAGTGACGAACTTGAGGTAATCAGTCAGTCTCTCCAAGTGCTGTCTGTTTTTTTTCCGAGGTCACACAAGAACTGTCAGCAGAGACAACTGTAACCTGCTCTAAGGTGTGTTTGTGCACGTCTGTACATATAACTTTGTGACATGCATAGTACAAAGTGTAACGGCTAAATGCATTCAGCATTTGATGATGTTGATGATGATGTGTTTTTTTAAGGTCATACCACTCTTCAGGAACCTGCAACATGCAGTGATGTTGCACTTGGCTGACAGTTCACATCCATTAGCAGTGACTCTGGGACAGAAACTGCTGGACAGTTTAAGAGCCAGGCCATCGCCTGAAGATGTCCACTGCCAATAGGCAGCAACATTTCTGGATCCAAGGTTCAAAACTCTCGCGTTTGACAACTAAGCAAAAGTCCAGGAGGCCCAGAGATGTGTCACCGCAGAATGTGCAAAATTGATTAAAGTACTCCCTCCACCACCAACAATGGCACAACCAGTAGCCAGGCAGAACAACCAAAGGTTTATTTTTATTACCTTGTTTAATTTGTCATACTTTTTGTGCAAACACATACAGGCATTACCTTTTTTTCCTGCCAACTTTATGCAAGGTCTGGCAGGTCTTTGATCAGAAAGTTCACCAGGTAAGATGACAACAAAACCCTACAGCAGATGCCAGCGTTTCTTAGCTGATGGATACCTGGATAGAGGTGAAGACCCAATTGCACACTGGGAGCAGAACTCCAGGGTCTTCCCCTTCCTGGCTATTCCAGCAACATCTGTGCCATGTGAAAGAGTGTTTTCAAAAGCTGGCAAGGTAATGGAATTATTAGTTTTTTCCTTCTTTGCAAAGTGTCTTTTAAACAGGTGCCAGTTCATTTCAGGTAACAGACAAGAGGAGGAACCAACCAAAGCCCCAAAACATGGAGAAAATTCTGTTTTTTAATAAAAACCTTTAAAACTGTTGTCTGAAACTGTTTTTGCACTGTTCTATTCTATATAAATTAATTCAAACTAAACCATTCCTATAAGTGCAAGAGAGGTTTCACGACCATACACAAGAGACATTAATAGTCTAATGTTTTTATTATTCGTACTAGTTGAATTACGGTTGACAAAAAGTTCACATGCTAATTGCAGATATAGGCTACTTATGACGGAATATAAAAACAATTAAAAAGAAATTATATTGTATTATGCACATTTTTGACTGTTCGAGCTTCGTGACATTCAAAACTTGCAGCAATAGGTTTTCATTCTGCCGTATTTGCTATAGCTGCAGTTTTTTTGTCGGTTTTTGCCAGCAAGCTGTGCACAACTAGTGTTTCAAAACTTTTCAAACTATCTCGAAACATGATTTTTTTTTTTTTTGAATGTTTTAAAATAGTTTTGATGATTCAAAATTGCCATTTCTAGGGAGAATCAGGACATAGAGCAAGCCGGGGAGCACATGCAGGCAGCAACATCAATGACTGGACTGGGGAGCTCAAGACAGGGAGGCACTAAATACATCACTAACAAGGGAACAGATGAGAGGCATCAGGGGTGATCCACACAAGGGCTGTAACAAGAGGTAAGATCAAACAAGTAACAGGTGTAGCTCATTAGAGTCACACAATGGAGAGAATGAGGGGAAAATAATGCAGGGCATGACATAAAGTATATTGTATGTTATTCTTTTGTTGAAATTAAATTGTGCACAAACGTATATTCAATGATACAGGAATATGTATCATATGCAGTTGCCCAGTAGGTTGGGCAGTTAGCAGGGACTATTAAATTATAAATTATACTTAAATTATAAATAATTAAAACACTCCACAACAAAACTAGGAAATGCCACATTAAGTAAATATACAGAGGAAGCTCATAAAGTATATGAATTCTCTGTAGAATAGATGGTGTCGCAAGTCAAAACATACCTTATGAATGTGACGTTAATCATTCTAAAAGATAAGCCAGTGACACCAGCAGGAAGCACACCAGCAGCCCAAAGGTTGATCCAAGCAAAGATGTGCCACTGCCAAGTTTGTCTGTTTAGAAAATGACAGGTTTTAATGTTTTAAGGTTTAACTAGATTATGTTTTGCCCCAGCAAACCACACTAAGGATAAAAGGGACGCATATTCTCTCTTTAACACAGGGGCAGTTACTTCAGCTTCAGTGCTATTTCATATCATAACTGCTAGAAAAGAAGAAAGCATCTGTATTCATTGTCCAGCTTAAACCACAGGAAGTGGTTAAACCATACAAGCTCTAAATGACTATAAATTAAAACACAACATGGCGTATGATTTTGTCACTAGGATGTTTATCTTAAATAAAATACAGACATTATAAGAACTTCACTGAGGTTAATAGATGCATGTTTAACTGACGTCTCATTGCATAAACCAGAGCCCTCAAAGGCTATGTTTCTGTAACGGTGCATCTCTGCAAGCTGAGCTAAACTCTCTAAGCTAAACTCTGCCTCCAGTACACATGTGCAAAAGACCCACTGCAGAGTTAGCAAAACTCACTTTTCCTTCAATGATAACTTACACCAGTAGAGGTCTTTGTGATTCAGTCAGTCAACAGCAGTCAGGGCTTTGATAAACAATGAGTGAGGATAAACATATATTTAAAAGAATGGCACATCTTTACTGACACAAACACCATCCTCATGTCTGACACGTGTAGAGAGGCTTCTGCTGCTATGCCAGGGCTGGAGTGGCCATATGTCATATCGAGCAATTTCCCATCTGCACAGCAGAAAATTGTATTTGCTGAAAATAAGACATTTTCTGTAAAATGTTAAGCTGCAACAACTATTTTTCTATCAGTTAATTTAAGAACGATTTTACGAAATTGGTCGATTAATCTAAATGATTAATTTTCCTCCAAAAAACCAAATTGACCATTTCATTTAACTTTATTTTATTTTGACAACAACAAACTGAATGTCACTGCAGGGCTTTACATAAGGGACACTGGCTTTTCAGCACGATACAGACATTACTTACACCCACAATTCGATAAGCATATTAGTAGTACACCTAAAATATCAATGAGAGGCGTATTGTGATGCCCAAAATTTAGTCATCTGTATAAATTCAGCATAATCTTAAGCTTAATAAATTTGATTAGTGAGGACACCACATGTGTTTATATTGATCTAACATGAAAGTGGTAAGTTCTGAAATCAAGGTGAAGAAAAGCATTTATGGGCATGTCCAAATCTATTTCACTATTTTGACGGTGGAAAAAACAGAATTTGCATTACCACAAGGCGCAAAAAGGTTGTCCCAGGTCAGGTCAGGTCAAGTTGGGGAGCATGCGCTGATGCAATGCGTTGCCACACCCACCATGCGGCAAACTCCTCGGGATCCCGGCCGACGAGCCCCCAGGCAGACATACAATCTAGTTCCACCCTCCAGAAATGGCCATCCATCTGCCACAGCCAGTTGTTACTTGGGCGTCCCCGTGGCCTGGTTCAGCCGCTTGGGTCCCCAGCAATGAGGATCCTGCAAGCCGGATCACCCTCAAGGAAACACGCCACATGGCCGTAGTGCTCTAACTGATGCTCCCTCATAATGCAGGTAATGTGCCTCATTCGGGACGCCTCTAGCAACCGCTCATTCGACACAAAGTTGAACCAGCAGTACCCAAGGATTCTCCAAAGAGACACAGTCTTCGTCTCAGCTCACTAAATAGCGTCCATGTCTCAAAGCCATACAGCAAGACAGGGAGCACCAGGACTCTAAAGACCTTCGTCCTCTTGCAAAGATATTGGGAGCGTCACACACCCCTTTCCAGCGACTTCATGACCCCCCATGCTCTTCCAATGCATCTGCTGACTTCATAGCAAGAGACACCACAGAGATGGCGGCGCAAGCAGGCGTATGCATAGCGGCCTCTCCATGCAACCCGAATTCAGTGCTAAATGTTTCATGTTATTGTCGGCGTCCTACTGATGTTTCATTGTGTAACACGCACCTCTGCGTGTATGATCGGGAAACTCTCATAAATTACCGTAATCTGGAGAAATCATCGATGGACGCAGCGGTCATGGAGAAGAAGAAGCCGAAGGAGAGACCAGAGGAAGTCCCGACAATCGCCTTGGGCACTTGCTCTCTCTTGGCAACTTCTCTCCCGAGAAGTGATCGGGGGAAATCCCAGATCACCCCGGACATCACCCTCGCTGCGAAGGTGCCTTCACCGGCAACTTCCCCCTTTCAGGGAACGCGGCTGGCTCTTAAAGGGGCCAGCGCGGTTTGGGACGCTATCGCGCGTGTCCCGCGGGCCCTTAAGGGGGCACCACCTGCACGTGAGGCGCCAACCCTGGCTCCCATCCCTGATCCACCTGTCTTGCCTGTCCCGGCAGCCGCCGAGGTCCCCAGCGAGGCTCCAGCCACCACAGCACCCCCTGCTGGTCTAGAGTTGGCGGTTCCAGCGGCGACACCTGCTGCGCCTCCTGCTGCCACGCACAAGGCCCCCGCTACTCCGCCTACTGTGGCTGTCTCCCCTGCGGTGTCGCCTGCGCTCGACGCCTGCCAGCCCGTCCAGCCCAACTCGCCCGTCCTGCTCATCCTGCCAAGCTCGCCTGACTGGGCTGCACCTCCGGCTGCTCGCAAGGCCCCTGCTGCGCCTACGGCTGCGGCACCCAAGGCTGGCCACGAGTCGGCGGTGTCTGCAGCTCCGCCTGAGGTCTCGGCACCGCCCCCGCCTACAGCTCCGCCTGAGGTCTCGGCGCCGCCTCCGCCTGCAGCTGCTATGCCAGAGGTCCCGCCTGTGGTGCCCGTCCTGTCTGCCTTGCCCGTCCTGCCTGCCCTGCCTGTCTCGTCAGCGCCTTCTGCTGGTCTAGAGTCTGCTGCACCGCCTCTGGTTATGCCTGAGGCTCCTGTTTCACTCGCAGCCCACCTGCCTGCAGAAGTCTCACCTGAGGTCCCGATGCCGGCTACTCCCCCTGTCCCGGCTCTGCCCACACCATCTGAGGTTCCGGCTGCTCCGCCCATCTCTGCTCCGCCAGTCTCTGCTCCGCCCAAAGCTCCCAGGCCTCTGCCTCCTGCTCCTCCCTCCATAGTGGAATCGGAGGAGGAGCTGCAACGGGACCCCTCGGGGATCTACCTCTTGGGCCCCAAAAACTCTGGGGCTAGAGGGACTCCTCCGCCATCACCCCAGTGTGGTGGAGCCAGACCAGGTCCCCGACTGTCCCCGACTGAGGGAGAGGACATAGACGCAGGGGCCGGGTCCCTCCCACCCTGCCCCCTGGCTCGCCCATGCATCCCCTGGCCGTGGCTCGGTGGCTGCCTGTGGGTCCTGCGGCTCCGGCTAGGCTGTCGTCTCCGGGTCCCCCTCCGGTGCCTCGTCGCCCGCCTGCGGACCCTTCGTCGTCGCCTCTGGGTCCCCCTGCTTCGGCTTGGTATCGGAAGGCGCCTTCCCCGGCTCCGGCTGTGCCATCGCCTGCCGTGGCTTGTTTTTGGTCTTGTTTTTCAGGTCCCGTGTCCCTCGTCTCGTCCGTCGCCTCCCCTGAGGCGCACCCGGAGTGCGCACCTTTAGGGGGGGGGTTCTGTTATGCCCAGCTCATCCAATCCTCGTGTGTGCCACGCCCCCTCATTACCTATGTGTGTCATCTGTTGCCTGTTATTTTCTGCGTATCCTGTGTGTTTAGTCCGTGTCTGAGTTAGTCTTCCCCAGATCCGTCATTAATGTTTGTTGCCGTCTGCCCTGAATAAACCCCGTTTTTTAGAGTATTCCTGGCTCGCTCCTCTGATTCCCATGCCGAACACAACAGATGTTAAGTGTACTATATGTTGCACCGGGGCCATGGAGAAACATTGTTTCGTCACTCTTTGTACACGCATGAAGCTGCTGATGACAATAAAGTAACCTTGAACCTTGAACATGAATGTCGCTGCCGAGGTAGGTACATCTCTCGACAAGATCGGATCGACATTCCCCCCGCAGACAGACACACTACTGATGGCTGTGCCTAAGAAGTCACTAAATGCCTGGATCTTGGTCTTTATCTAAGACACAGATGGTGTGTCACAAGTCTGTGGTCAGAATTCACAAAATGGGCACTTCTGTAGACCCTGCAGTTCTGCAGGACCCTCCAGCGTCTGCCCACGAGGATGTGATCGATTTCCTTCGCTGCACCACCAGTTTGGGAGTACCGAATCCAACGTTGCAGCTCAGGATGTTGAATCTAGGATCCAGCGACCTGCAGCCCATGACCTTTCGCAAAGTCAAGGAACATGGAGCCACTTTCAACCCGGTCTCCAGACCCATGGAGACCGACATAATCCTCACAGCCAGCCCAATCAGGGCCAGTGGTTGCACTGATGTCATCCATGACCAGAGGAGTGTCACCTCGTGGGCACCCTTCAACCACCGAGTGAAGTTGCAAGTAAAATGCCTCTTTCAATGAGACGTCACTCCCCATGGTCGGAGCATACACTGAGACAGAAGAAAAGACACCCAAGGAGTGCCTTAGCCTGAGTCTCATAATACGCTAGTTGAAAGGAGTGACATCAGACACCAATGGGAGTAGCCAATCCACTACAGCAACAGCTTCTCCCTGAGTATGGTAGCCATCAGACCCACCAGACCAAAAGTAGGTATACCCACCTACAGAGATCTGGCCACTCTTTGGTCTGCATACCTCAGAGAGTGCTGCTACCGAACAGTTTACGAAGCTCCCCTAATAGCACAGGAAGATGGTCACCTTGCCAGAGAGACAAGACGTTCCACGTGTCTACCAGGATTGGCCACCACAAACTGAGACCCAAATGCCACCGTGCAGCAGCGACACCTGAGCACCACACCGGCCCCGATCCTCAACAAGCCTGATCCTATTAGCTCTCCGAAGGTTTCAACTCCTCTGAGGATGAGGCTCAGAGGGGGACCGCTTGTAGGGCCTGATGCAGTTTAACGTAATACCCAGGACTAGGAGTTGTCCCAACTCTCTTAATTTTTCACAGGCATGTTTTGAGCATAACATGCAATGAATTAATCGTAATGGCACCTGTAAAAGGCAGCAGCGCATGATCGACAGCAGATAGCTATTATGATGCCGCATTCGCGAGATCGCTTTTCACCCATGAACTGACGCAGTGCGTTGCCACATCCACCACATGGCGAAACTCCTCAGGGTCCTGGCTAGCGACCCCCCAGGCAGACACACGGTCCAATCCCACCCTCTGGAAATGGCCATCCATCTACCACAGCCAGGTGTTACGTGAGAATCCCCGTGGCCTAGTCCAGCCACTTGAGTCATCAGCAACAAGGATCCTGCAAGCTGGATCTCTCTCAGGGAAGCACGTCACATGGCCGTAGTGCCGTAAGTGATGCTACCTCAAAATGCAAGTAATGTGCTTCATTCAGGACTCCTCTAGCAACTGCTCATTGGAAACAAAGTCAAACCAGCGGTACCCAAGGATTCCCCCAAGAAACACAGTACCGAAGGAGTCTAGTCTTCATCTTAGCTCACTGGATAGTGTCAACACACTGCCCAGTCTCACAGCCATACAGCAAGACAGGGAGCACCAGGACTCTAAAGACTTGGACCTTTGTCCTCTTGCAAAGATATCAGGAGCGCCACACATCTCTTTCCAGTGACTTCATGACCACCCATGCTCTCCCAATCCATCGACTGGCTTCATAGGAAGAGTCACCAGAGACATGAATGTCGCTGCCGAGGTAAGTGAATCTCTCAACAAAGTCCTGTTTTCCAGTCAGTTGGGATGACGCCTGACTCCCAAATGGAAGCAGAGACTGCCCGCAATGCCAGGATGACAGCCTTACCACCAGCCTGGAGAAGTTCAACCAAGACACTAGAGATCCCTGCGATCTTCCCTATCCCCAGCTGATTCACCACCCGTGTGAAATTGGGTGGGTCACAGCTGATTGGAGGATCAGCCTCAAGAGATGTCCAACATCCCAGCCAGAAGATCAGCATTAAACAACTGCTCAAAGCAGCTGGCCCGGTGGGTTACAACTTCAGTGTCATCTGTAAGACCCCATTCCATCACCGGCCCTGACTACAAGGCTCTGAGAAACAGATTCTGATGTACATAAGGATTTGATTTCTCTGTAAGCAGGACTTGTGTAACTAGACCACAGATGGTGGTCTTGTGACACACCTGCTCACAGATTTGTCTAACAAACACCTACTTATTGTCATGCCCCGATCGTCCGCTCCTCTCGTGTGCCACACCCCCTCGTTAACCTCATGTGAAATCCCAGTGTTTTACAGCTGTTTCTGATTGTTGTCATTAGTTCATTGTATTTAGTCCGCGTTTCCGTTTGTTTCCGGAGTCCGGTCATTGTATTGTCAGCCTGTATTGTCTGTGTTTATGCCTACCAGTGCTTTAATTAAATCTCATGTTCCCGATCCCTGGATTCCTGCCCGTTTGTCTGCGCTCCGGGCGCTTACACTTGTGACAGAATGACCGGACTCCGGAAGAAAACATCGCCTCGTCTGTTCGAAGAGGAGTACCTTGATATAACCGACGAGGTGATATATTGGCTGGAGCAGCCCGAAGTCAGGGACGATCCCGGGCTTTGGGCTCTAGCTCACCGAGGCCGGGACATCTTAGAAGGGATGTCCCTACCCGGAAGTGTGCATCTCGCTGAGGAGGTGCGTTCCATGGTACGGCAGCTTCGGGAAGGAGCTGCCGAGTCCATGATGAGATGGGTTGCCGTGGACAGCGGACTGCCAGACGGCTTCCTGCACAAAGTGCCCCCGACTCCGCTTTCCCCAGCACGGAGGAAGAAGCGGAGGTCCCGACGACAGGAGGAGGCGCCGGAGGTTTTCCAGGGAGACGTCGCGGTCTCTGCTACCTTGCCTCCGCGGAATCGGAAAAATCCCCTTCCGATTCTTAATCCGGCGGTGTTTAAGTCGGACACCACCGCTGTTTTGCCCCGACAGACGCCTGTGATCCACATAGCGGCTGCCAGACTGCCAGGACCGGCAGCCCGCACCTTAGTCGGGACGCGCCTGGCCCTTAAAGGGACCAGGTCCATTAAGGACGCTATCCCGCGGGTTCCGCCGTTTCGGAAGCGGGCAGCGCCCCCCGTGGTTCCAGAGGCTGCAGCGCCCCCCGTGGTTCCAGAGGCTGCAGCGCCCCCCGTGGTTCCAGAGGCTGCAGCGCCCCCCGTGGTTCCAGAGGCTGCTGCGCCCCCCGTGGTTCCAGAGGCTGCAGCGCCCCCCGTGGTTCCTGAGGCTGCAGCGCCCCCCGTGGTTCCAGAGGCTGCTGCGCCCCCCGTGGTTCCAGAGGCTGCAGCGCCCCCCGTGGTTCCTGAGCCAAGGCC